ATTAATACATAAAGATTTTTGGTTAATGTGCAAGGATATGTAAATTAACTTGTTAAAGGTGCAAGCTAAATAGAATGCTGACGATTATTGCACCAAGCTCTTGAAAAAAAAAAAGGTTGTGATTTCTTTGCGCTAATCACATGCTTTGCGTCAGCATGCATGCCAATTCTGAGGGAGTCTGTTGAAGGTGTAGTAATGCTGAGTGGGCAGAATGTCTCTTTCAGCCTCTCTAACCTGGTCTTGGTTTGGCTCTGACTTCTAATCTTGGTAGGGTGACACAAAGGCTAGACAGCTGATTGGGGTAGGTTAGAGGTGGACTATTGACAAACCTGTGACACAGTGTATAGCATGTCTGACTTACTGTGATCAATTTCTGGATTTCATTCCATCCTGACATCTGTCATGTATGAAATTCCCTCATTTTTGGGTGTTTTTTTGCTTCGCATTTCCTCCTCGCACTGCAGACAGTTTCCACCAATCTCCAAACACCTGAATGTATTCAGAATGTATGTGCTCAATACAATGGAATGAATATTTGTATTCTCTATAGTGCAGCAAAAAAAAAAAAAAAAAAAGTTTACACTATATAAAAAAATAAATAAATATGGGACAATTATAATGTTTGTGGTTTCATTTTAAATATGCATGATATTGTAAGCAACACTTCTTTTTCATAATTTGCATATTTGTTTGTGTTATTGTAACTGTTTTCCAGAGTCGATTGAATGTGTTTTAAACCATTGCTGTATTTACAGGCAGAATGCATTTCAGATCACTGCGGTAGATGGTGTTTGCAGTGGAATAATTCAGTGTTTATCTGCTGATGAGTGCATTGAGTGGTTACAATCTATATCAACTAATATTTCGAATCTCACAAAGCACAATGTAAGTAAAAATGACCTTTTGACTCGTTTAAAAGCCTTTTGTCTGTAATCCTTTAGTTCCAGTGCCTTTCAGATACCACCTTGTTTTATCTTCAAATAAGGAAAGCTCAGTGCATCTCGTGAGCAATCAACATAATATTGTAGCTAAATCATCTATAAAACATTCATGAAAAGTGAGCTTCTGCCTGCGGTTTTCATTTGTGTTTCTGGTATCAAGATTCAGGGGCACTGTTATATGGATTGTTACTTAGTTCTGATGGACACAAAATGCAGAATACTAATGATTATTTAAAGAAATCATTGCTATTAGAAAAATATATTTTCCATTGTAATAGATCAATGTTGTGCACTAATGTATGCAATGTTAAACTAATGGATTATCAATATCAAAAAAAGATATATATATATATGTGTATATATATATATTACGGAAAATTGTTATCACATACTTACCGTAATTTTCCTTTCCTGGCTCTCCTCATGTCGGCATACTAATGGGTTAACCCCGCCCCCGGCTCCTAATAGGACCACCCCTAACTAGAGCATAAAGCCCCCTTCTCCCACCTCCTCTGTGTTCAATAACACGCCGAGCGAAGGCATGGGAGGGACGCTATGCCGACATGAGGAGAGCCAGGAAAGGAAAATTACGGTAAGTATGTGATAACAATTTTCCGTATTCCTGGCTCTCCTCATGTCGGCATACTAATGGGACATAGCAAGCAATAACCACAAGGGAGGGAAACATGCCAAATAATTTAATAAACTGCTGAAGCCGCAGAAGACAATACGGACGCCCCAAAGGCTGAGTCCGCAGCATTAGACACATCGACACTATAATGTTTAATGAACGTATTAGAGGACGACCAACTCGCTGCTTTACAGACGACCTCTACCGGAACTTTCGCGTAGGCTGCCCAAGACGCAGCCAGCGACCTCGTAGAATGAGCCCTGACTTCTTGCGGAGGGGGAAGACCCGATGCCCTATAAGCAGACTGGACAGCTTTTACCACCCAAGTGGATAAGATTCTCGTGGAAGCGGCGGCTCCCTTCCTCGGTCCACCGGGCATCACAAAGAGTCTATCGGTGGTGCGGAAACTCCCTGTCCGCAACAAATAAGTGGAAAGAATGCCAACCACATCTAATCTTCCGAGATACTCCTCCCCAGTCGACAGGATTGCAGCCGACAGGCTTGGTAGGACTGATTCCCAATTGAAATGGAACAGCGAGGAAACCTTTGGTAAGAATGAAGGCACAGGCCTCAGCACTACCCGGTCAGGAAAAAACTGGCAATACGGTTCCTTGCAGGAAAAGGCTTGCAATTCCGACACTCGCCTGGCGGAGACAATTGCTGTGATGAAGACTGAGAGCAGAGTGAGGTGATATAGTGAACATGAAGTTGGAGGAAAGAATGGTGCTACCGTTAGC